TGTGTCTGTGCTTCCTCTGCTGGAGCCCAGGGTAAGTGGCTGTAAAAGGAATTTTTTTGTGTTAGCCCTTTGAGAGGCTCTCTGCATCCATAGTTGTCTCTCCCTGGTGGACAGAAACCCCTCTGCTTTTCACAGCTTAATGTTATGTGGGTTCTTTTCCCAGCTCTGGTGCTGTCTGCTGGGGAGCCCAGGTTGGGGTTTAGACCCCACACTTCTCAGCTGCTGAAATGTCCCTCTGGAACTTTGGCACCACCAGTGGGAGCCCTGCCAGCCCTTCACACCTCCTCTACCCTCCCTACCAGTCTCATTGTGGTGAAGTGGTTTTCCTGTCTATCTGTAGTTATAAGGCTTCTCTCCAGCTAGTGTTCAGTTGGTTATTCAGGATGCTTTCTCTACAATTTAGTTTTAATTCCAGTTGGGTCCTGGGAGGAGGTTAGTGCAGCTTCTACTTACTCCTCTGCCATCTTTAATCCTAATGACAGCACATTCTTGATGGGGACTTTGTGGAGATAGATAGAAAGAAATAAAGGCTTCATTTTTTCTCTTTTTAAGATTTTTAAGTAATTATATATTAAGATATCCTGAAATTATACACATTTTAAAGAGGTAATTCCATGCTGAAATTCTAGTGACATAAACTTAGTCTTGTGGTTTATTATGTCAGGAAAAAAAGCATTTGTAGAATTATATTGTAGAATTATTCAAGAGTTGTGGGTGCATTTGCCCTTCAGTTTTTGTTGAGACATCATTTTTTGTGTCTACTACAAAGTTACGTGAGTCAGACAGTGTTTTTGCCTTTTCAGCATTATTACCTACCCTGTAAACAAACAGTTGAGAAAACCAGTCTTGGATCTTAAAAAACAGTAACAGAGCCTGTTCTGCACAAAACCCCTACTCTGCTGAAGTTACTGAGTTTACTTATACAATGTAGTATTTTAAATAGCACCTACAATGACACTACTATCACTATTGCCGTTATTAAGTTTCTAGTCCTGACCCTGTGCTCACATTTTGAGAAAACGTTGAGGAAGCTGATGGCTTGTGAGAGCTTGCACACCAACCAGCACTGCATGGAAGGGGGGAGAAGCGAGACTCGGAATAGGACTGAATGCAATCCATGGCTGAACTTGGTTTTAAAAACATATTTGAAACAGAATTTTAAATGTTTCTAATCCCTTCATTTGGGGTTCAGGCTTATTTTCGGCTTTCTCCCCTGGATAGTGTTAACCAGAGAAGAGATTCAGGCTGCAATCAAAAAGAGAAAGTACCTATCGAATGAAAAGGTGTACTCCTGAGGAGGGCACGGGTTCAGGTAGCAATTTAAATGAGCTCCGAAGAGGACAAAGAAAAGCAGGGGTTTGTGGAGGTTAAATTTACAAGTGTGGTTCCCATTTCAGTCCGCTGTGCAAATGAAGGAGTCTGGCTAAGTGCAGGGATTGGGTAGTTCCCATATGCAAATAAGGGTGTCAGAAATTATGAGGAGGAAGAAAAGTCCATAGCTGTCCATTCAGCAGTAGTTCCAGAATGGTTATGACTCAGCCTTGAGCTGAGGGGAGCAACATACTAGCAACTGAATAGCAGCTTTGAAAACCCAGGCAGATGTGCACAGGCCCCACCTCCTCAATAGCCTCCCGACTCTTTTTTCAGGTGACTCTCTTATCGAGTGGTGGCAACACAATATCAGAAAGCAGCAAGAGTTCTGCTGGAGAAAAGAGGCTTAAATTCGAAGGAAATAGTAAAGCTCCACAATAGCAAGAGTGTGGCTATGGAGAACAAGTGTCTATGAATAAAAAATATTTTTTAAATAAAATAATTACCTTTTAAAGTGTATGCAGTATATATGTATGTACATGTATATATGTGTATACATGTGCATATACATATGTACATACACACATTTATCTTTATGTACCTAAAAGCAATGAAGACATGAAGTGGTTAATATTACCATGAACTTTCTATCAACTGTTTTCAGCAAATTCAGTTCATTTGGAGCAAAAATGAAGACATCTGTGAAAACATTGCCAAATAAATAAATTGAATATAATTGGCAGAAAATTACTTAGAAATATTATAAAATAATAGAAAACACCCTGAAAAATTCTTTAAAAATGAACAGAAATGTTTAAAGTTGGATAAATGTTTGAAAATTTAATGTCTAGGATGTGCCCAAATTACAAATATATGAAAAATCATGGCCTGAAAATATTTGTTTCCAACCAAGTTATTTGTAACCAGTTCATCTGGATCGGTTTCACGTGGCTTCGGGGTTACGCTCAGGCCAGTGAGTGGAAGTGTAGGATAGATTTTGACTCGACATAAGAATCAACGTTCTAACAATGCTTCACAAACAGCGAAGGAGTGGACACATTGAGTTTCTGGTAACAGTGTTCAGGGCACAGCTGGGTGAAAAATGGGAATGTTGTCGAAGGAATTAGGGACAGATAAGGGTCAGACTATGGGTGAGTTCTTAAAACCTGAGACTTAGTGAAACTCAGATTATGCATTTCCAAATTAGTTGTAGACATAAGACATGTATATCTGATGTCACAGACAATGCAGTAAAACAGCAATTGTCAACCGGTGTGCCACAAAAAATTTTAAAACATGCAGTTCCTGACTATTTAGTCAGGGGCACTGACCTCTTTTCCCTTAGATTCTCAAATAAAAAAAAATGACAGCAGCCAACACAACAAGAGCCATCTTGGTGTGAACAAATCAAAATTATGCCTTTTTTGGTCAGATTGGTAAAACATATATTTTTTGGTGTGCCACAGAAGTGTGGTGGTCCGTGCCCGTGTCCCATGGGGTGAGAAGGGTTGACGGTTGCTGCTGTGGAGCCTGAACATAAGTTTGTGCCGTGACTTGGCCTGCATGTTCGTCAGGCCTTCTCCACTGGCTCGGTGACGTTTGTCCCTTTCCAGTTCATGAAGCTGGGTATCCGCAACAAAGGGGAACATTCATTTCTGCACAGACATTAAACATTTTTTTTAAACAGTCTTGCTGGCTGAAAAGTACAGAGCTTACCCATTTGTACCTCCCTCAACAGCTCATGGAAATAAGGAGGAGAAATCACCATGTTCTTCTCTTTCTCAGGAGAACACACCTGGGTAAAGACCGGCCTAAGGTAACGCTGTGGTGGACAGCCTGATTATTAAGTTCGTAAGACTTCAGCATCCCTAAGGCCTCTCTCCTCGATAGATGCATTTTGTAACGGGGATGGCGGTACTGATGCTTGTTTTTTAAAGACTTAAAACACAATTAGATCAGTTTTAGGTGCACAGCCAATCCGAGAGGAAGGTACAGAATTCCCACTTACCCCCGGCCCCACACATGCACTGTGCTCCCCCACTAGCCGCACCCCCTACCAGAGTGGCACCTTTGCTAGCAATGAACCTACACTGGCACATCATTATCACCCAAAGTCCATAGTTTCCACTAAGGGTCACTCTTCATGTTGGGCATTCTATGGATTTAGGCAAACGTACAAGGACATGTATTTATCGTTATAGTATCATACAGAGTATTTTCGCTCCCCTAAAAATCCTCTGTCCCCCCCACCCTTCAACACCCTGGCAACTACTGATCTTTTCACTCTCTCTAGAGTTTTGCCTTTTCCAGATTATAATATGGTTGGAGTCATACAGTCTTCAGTCTTTCCAGATTAGCTTGTTTCACTTAGTAATATGTATTTAAGGTTTTTCCATGTCTTTTCATGGCTTGCTAGCTAATTTTTTTTAGTACTAAATAATATTCCATCATCTGGATGAACCACAGTTTATTTATTCATTTATTATTGAAGTACGTCTTGGTTGCTTCCAATTTTTGGCAAATACAGCTGCCAGAAACATTCCTGTTCACAGTACTGAATTGAAGATAAACCATATGTCCTATGTTGCTGTGGTCATCTATCTTTTCAAAACAACCTAGGTTTGAGATGATCCGAAATGCGATTTTGGAAGATCATATTAATAACTATCTCATGCATTTTATGTGAATTTATTTTTATTGGAGTGCCTTACAAACACAAGTTCCTACTGGTGCCATGTTGTATGCTCCGGGAGGTGGAGGTATGAAGGCCTTTCTGTTCTCAAGAGAGACTAGAAGAGAGAAGCGTAAATGATTACACAAGTGAATGTGCATAAAACAACTGGTTCTCCATGGCTGGAACATCAGAGTAAATGTTCTGACCTAGGTTACAGTCTCTTTTCCAAACTAGGGACATAAAAGGTAAGCAAGTGAAAAACATAAATTTTTGTCTAAGTTAAAAATTTCCAAGTTCTTCTATTTCTCGTTTAGTTATCCCTAACTGTTCTGGCAGCATTCAATTGCTCTTTCTTTTTTCCTTTTCTCATTTGTGTGATATGTTTCCCAAGATGCATTTCTTTTGAAGCTCTTGGGTCCATTTATACAGTTTGCTCTTTGGTATTGGTGAGTGCGCACTTATTGACAAAACTGGCCTCCACCCTCCCATTGCACCTATAAGAGAAGTCGTTTTTTTAATTGGCATCATCATTTGAGAAATAAAATGCCCACGTATGTGAACGCACAACCAAAAAGTGGCTAAAGACACATTCTCAAACCAAATAAAGTGACTTCAAAGCTTAGGTGTCATCTACCTAATAAAACTTCGGTGAAAGTCTTGTCGGTCTGTCATTTTTTGATGATTCCGCTAATGGGAAGGGCCTCCCGTGGGCCCTCATTTTTAGACTTCACAGGAAACATTTTGGAGAACACTCTGTAAAACTTGGTTTGGGTTTTATTTATGAGTAAAGCACTTTGGTGTTATTTTGCTTGCCTGTGTTTTGCCTCCTACACTGAGGTAAGTCAGTATTACCCAGTTTTCAGAGTTGAACTGACTTGCCTTTTCAGACCAGTGACCCTGTAAATTGTACTGGATTTTGTCAGACATTTTTGAGAACCTGGATGCTCATGTGTGGATGTGCTTGAAGAGACCTCAGTCTGAAACAACATTCTTGAAAGGCTTTTGTTTTATTTAGTGCCAGCACTTCAAATATTGCCAGAATAGAAGAAATGGAGAGGCTTTTGAAGCAGGCCCATGCAGAGAAGACACGGCTGCTTGAATCCAGGGTAGGTGTAATGTCTTCATGCCAGAAGGCAGTGATGAGGTGGTTCAGCATGCCCTGCACTTGACACCAGGAAGCTGTCATTGGGCTGCACAAGGCGGAATGACCGTGGAGTAGTCATTCAGCCTTTCTTGGCCTCATTTTCTTAATCTGAAAACTAAGGGTGTTAGAGGATTTCTAAGGCTTTTTTACTGCACTACATTTTTTCATAATTTAACAGAATATATAGTGTTGATATAGACCGAAATAAATGCTTTGTATTATGTTTCCCTTTGATGGCCAGTTTGTTTGCCTGCCAAAGAATGAGGATGAATGTCATGTCTGTGTGCATTCTTGTTCCTTGCCAGTTTGCATTAACTACGCTATTGTAACATTAAAAACCCCTTATTATTGTGACTGTATTTCAAGCCAAAATCTGGACTTCCTTAGGAATCCCCCAGAATGCCTTTGCATCCTGCTCTGAGGGTACCTCCTTTCCTCTAGCGACTTCCCCATGTGCTTCCGCCGCAGCCTGCGGCCAGGAAGCTGCTGAGCAACAACAGGAACTGGAAGGACCCACGCATGACCTTCAGTTGGAAGACAGCAATTGAAAGAAAGGCTAAATCCCTCTTGACGAGGGTTGGCTGACGATTTGTGGGGATTTTTATTTAAAATGAGGCTATTGTGGTTGTCAACATCAAATGACTTGAATGCAATCACAAGATGGATTTCCACGTACATTCTATTGTTAACTCAAGTTAGTGGTTGCCTTTCCGCGTAGCATGACTTTGAAAGCTACGTGAGGGGTGTTTGCAAGCATTTTAGTCGAGGTTTTATATTGTAAGGAGCGACTAGCTTATAATGCCCAATTTCTAGCAAGGACTTTTTCTTTTTTTTTTTTTTTTTTTTGATAGTATAATCGGAATCATTCAAGTACAACCACTCTGTCTTAAAATTTATTGTCTAATGATATGTAGGAACGGGAAATGGAAGCCAAAAAACGAGCTCTGGAAGAAGAGAAAAGACGCCGAGAACTCCTGGAAAAACGATTGCAGGAGGAAACGAGCCAGCGGCAGAAGTTAATTGAAAAGGAAGTGAAAATAAGGGAGAAACAAAGGGCACAGGTTGGTGGGTCAATCTGGATAAATAAGAGTATGTTGCCCCCTAGTGGCTGTTCTGTTGTAGAGGATGGAAATACTGGGTCCCGATGTTTTCCACGGATTATTAAATTCTTGACATGTAATGGCTGAGGGAAAGATATGAGTTAGTAGGCAAAAAAGAAAAAAAAATTCTAATGACACTTTTCTCTGCACATGCATGGAACATTTGATGGGAAAGACACTTTTTCTTCTACCTATTTTTTGGAATATATTTAAAAGGAGAATGTTTTTTAACTTCTTTTTCTTAGATAAGTCCCTTTAGCATTTCATATAATAAGGGCTTGTAAAAAAACATGAACAGTGAAAGGACAGCAAACTCACAGTTATTAACAACCACACCTAAAACAAAAGCAAACTAAAAGGACAGCTAGATCAGGAGTGGAAACATAGAAATGAAGATCTCGAAGAGGGTTAGCAACAGGGGAGTGGGAGGAGGAGAAGGGGGGAGAAGGTACAGAAAATAAGTAGCATAGACAGTAGATAGAAAACTGATGGGGGGCAAGAATAGTATGGGAAATATAGAATCTAAAAAACTTGAGACACATGGTCATAAACTAAAGGGGGGGTAATGGTGGGGAGGGGGGTAGGGTGGAGGGGAATGAAGGGGGGAATAGAACAACTATAATGGCATAATCAATAAAAAATAAATTTAAAAAAAACTACTCACAAAGAAAAAAAAAAAGGAGAATGCGTTTTGAGCAGGTTCGAGAAATGCAGCTGGGTTTGCTCCTAAAAAAAAAGGAAAAACCCCCCCTTCCCCTCTAAGAAAAAAAAAATAAAAAAAAATAAAAATAAAAAAATAAAACCAAATTCAGCATCCTTTGGTTGGTGAAGAGAACAGGTTCCATTAAGCCATGATTTGGAAATAAACACTCCAGAACCAGACAGTTTTAGCAGCCCTGTTTCTTGGTGGTGGTTTTAGTGTTTGTTGTTTTTTCCTCTCATCGCTGTACTGTCACGTGTGTTCCCTGTGCTACACCAGCCCACACACCTGTGCACCAGATTACTGGACTCGAGCAAAACTTGGGAAGATCACCCATTCTGCTCAGCTTCCTGTCTTGGTCATTAGGGAGTTTGAGTTTCTGACCTTGTCACTAGAGCTGCTTACATAATCTATATTTTCTGAGAAACTCATAAAATTTTAAGTCCATGTAATTTACATTCAAATCAGTTTTACCAAAGATTACTAAACACAAAGATAAAAGGTACTGTTTCCCTTGTTCTTTGCAGTTGCTGGCAGTTGGCAGTACAGCAGTGAGAGACTTTCTTTCAGGCTTTGATGTGTCATAAGCCTGCGACATCTGTCTACAGTCAGAGTCAAAGGCAAATTATTGAAGGGGAGCTACAAAGTAAAACATGTTCATTTTCTCTTATTATGCCAAACCTCTGCCAAATTTTGACTCACCGTGAAGGGAGAAAGCCAAACCAAAAAGCACCATTCTGTTTTAATCCTAATTATAAGTTTTGCCTCCAAGTATATGATGAGGTCACTTTCCCCAGGGTAAAGGAGTTGAATAATTTAACAGCATGGAATGAAACATTATTTTAGAAATATTACCCATAGTAATCTGTTTCCTAGATTAGATGAACCTCCATTCTAGCCTCGATAAAATAAAATAAAAGACGTCTATGTCCCTTTCTTCAATGTCTGGTCCTGGACTGTGTTTTGATTCCACTTCTCACCTTATTTTGGCCTTGCTTTGCAAAACACAGCTCTGCCTTCAGTTCCTGTTAGAGCAGGGGCATCAAACTCATTGTCACTGGGGGCCACATCAGCCTCAGAGGGCCGAATATAATTTTAGGTCTGTGTAAATGTAACTACTCCTTAACAGTTAAGCGAGAGTTTGGCAGTACTGCCAGGTAGAAACAAGGTGCCGGGCCAGATAAAACAAGGTGGAGGGCTGGATTCAGCCCGTGGGCCTTGTGTTTGCCCCCTGTGTATTAGACAGTATATGGAAGCTTATTTGTACAGCTTTGGGAGATCTTGTCAGGTTTGCATTTACTAAAGATTGTCCCATCAATCATGTCTGGGGCTATCTAAGAACTATGGTGAGGTTGTGGTGGGGAGAATCCCTGGGACCTTGTGAAGTGGAGGAGACCTTATCTGCAGGAAGCAGCCCAGGTAACTTCTAGTTACCAGTTTTTAAGTACTACGTACCTTTTTTAAAGCTAAGCTAATGACACTTTTCTATTTTCTCAGCTGTCCATTCCAAGAAATAGAATCTGTTGGCCTGGGTGTATCCCCCCCACCCCCACACTGTAGCATCCTTCTTAAAGTGCCATCACTGTTTCGACCCCACAGGACAATGTTTATCTTAAAGTCTCACAACCACACAGGCATTTTAACGCTTAAGCTTTTCAGATTTTTTTTCCTCCTGCTTCTACATACCTGTGACCTAAAACAAAAGCATAATTAGCTACAGATGCCATGGGTTTGCCTTTTTCCAGTCTCGACCTTTGACACGCTATCTGCCTGTCCGGAAGGAGGACTTCGATTTGCGGAGCCACGTGGAGACTGCGGGCCACAGCATCGACACCTGCTACCACGTGTCCATCACGGAGAAGACCTGCCGAGGGTTCCTCATCAAAATGGGCGGGAAAATTAAAACTTGGAAAAAACGCTGGTTTGTTTTTGATCGGAACAAGCGTACATTCTCTTATTATGCAGGTGAGTGATGAGAGAAATCTAAGTATTGTATTCAAATTAGGAGCCCTCCATTAAAGAGAATAGATGGTATAATTCGGTATAAATAGGGAGATTGGGAAGTAATAGAAATATTGACAATATTAATTTTGTAAATGTATATTTTATGTTCAGATTATATGGTCCACATAATATGAATTTTCTCTTAGAAATAATAAGTTACATTATATAAAAGGTGTGAACTAGTCTATTCTAGTTATGAAATTAGCTCAAACCCAAGTAAATGTTAAATAGACTATATTTTTGAGACCCACATACTGTCTTTTTAAACCATGAGGCCAGGAGAAAAGGGTACTTACTTATTTCTTTATTTATTGTCCTATGCCCTATTTAAGTCACACACAATTAGGCAGCCATAGCTGACAGTCATTCAGCTCTAGTTTATAAACTGAAATGGCCTTTTAAGCACAGAGAGAAAAGCTAGTCAGTGAACTAGTGAGTAAGTATTAAGTGACTGAAATATTTTTGGGTACTTGATGGTTAGTGAGAAATACCTTTACCTAGTCTTCCATAAACACAGGAATATCGGTGTAACTGGTATACTTATCAACAACCCTCTCACTCACTCTTGGTCACACATGAAATATGTCCATTATTACCACGAGCATAGTTCTGCCCTCTTTTCAGCAGCTGAAGAAGGGGTGGAATCAGCCCAGAGGTTATGAGGGGACTCTGCTTTGGGGTGACTGTATCAGCATTTATAAGCCTTGTCAGGAATTGTTAAAAAGCGTACCTATGTGATAAGTAAAAAATAACGGTCCAGTCATTTAATCGATAATATGAGGCGAGGATATATTTATGAAGAGAGGTGTGAGAAGCCAAGCAATGTGTGAGAGAAATGAAATGCTGGCTCTGGAGCCCAGAACTGGGGTAAGTAGAGGGTGGGAGTACAACCCATGCCTTCCGGTTGGGAGCCGTTGGGTGGGGTTCCGGTTACCGTGGTGGTTGGTGGTAACTGAAGCAAGTGGCCAAACCCCTGCAGGCCCCCTGCTCGGCCTCTCGGAGGGGCTTTCTGACCTTGGGTTTTATAAAAATCCAGAGACATTATCTTTAGTTTGTACAATAGAAAAAATATCTTTTTAATAAGAAATACCAATTTAGTGTCTGCAAAATGCATAAATGAAACTTTGCTGTGTGCTAGTCTCCCCCAGAATTTTCCCGAAGTAAAGTTTTGAAATAACTTGAGACAAAACAGCTTTATTCTTCTCTTCTCTTCTCTTATTTTATTCTTTTTAATAGCCCCACATTAAGGACTCCTTCCTTCTGACCCATATAAGTGAGTTTTCCAAATTTAAACTTCTTAGTTACTGGTCTTCAACATTTTATAAATACCAAAACCTTTTTGGTGTATGAAAGATTACTCAGAATCCTAGTGCATAAAACAGACAAAATGATATTTAATTCAGCTTTTCAATATGTATTTAATATTATATAGCTAACTGGTGAGACCTAGTTTGGTGAACACTAGCCATCTGGCTGTTTACAACCATCATCAGCTTCGTTTGCTCCAGCCACGTCCACCCCCACTTTTTCCAAAAACAACACCAAGTTCAAGAATAGATCAGTCCTCGGGATGTCATACAGATTGCAGTTCAGGCTGGACTTGATCCCATATTCACCATGCCCCTTCAGCTTGTCAGTGAGGTAGATACTGTGGTATGTGTGAAGGACCTGTGAACGAGGGTGCTGAAAACTAGTCTTAGGTCTCTCTGTTGACCTTGACCCTGGGCCCTGTACATGGCCTCCTACATATTAACTGGGTCACTTTAGAAATGTCTCTAAAACACTGAGGCACAGAAAATGTAGATGTAAATTTATAGGATAATGCTATTGAAACAGAATGAATAGCATTATTTCTTCAACTTACAATAACGTTATCGATTCTCTTAATTCACAGTGTCCTTGTGAGGCCTGTATTTTTCAGTCCTTTCTCATATATGAAGGCCTTAGAAACAAGTTTCAGTCCCCAGTTTTCTGCTTGTTCTAAATGCTGACAAGATTTACTTTGACCTCAGGATGTTGTTTTGTGTCTGTTTTCAGAAAACAAAGTTCATTGTATTCTCGTGAATATTGCAGCGTTCTTTCTAGTGAATGTGTGAGAGATACACGGGTTAAATGCAATTAAACTATATTTTCTACTGAACTTCTTAGGGCTGCTGTTTTCCAGACTAGGTTTTTACTGTTGTTGGGAAAAAAAAAAGGGGGGACTTTCATTAGTAAAAAAATAAATAAAAATAAAAATTCAACCAATGTTTCTATAAAGAAATTGCTTCTTTCCCAGCACAAAAGTTCTGATATTTTCCCACTGTTGTACCTGATATATCCTTTTAGATTTCCTTTGTTTATATATAAATTTCAGTATGTGCATGTGTTCTTCTTCTTTAATACAGTTGGGACCAAATTACTCTTCACGTTTCAGATTTTTCGCATAACAATATTTCACAGTGTTCTATACAAGGGCTGGCAGGCCCCACTTTATGCCTGTGTTAAGATGGAATCAGTTCCCTGTTAAAGTTCCAGCAGATCTTTGGCAGCCTCTTCTGCTGTAACAAAGGCAAATCCGTGTGCATGTGCAGGAGGAGTTTTATACAGTAAAGTTTTAGAAGAAGAATTGCTAAGCAAGAGAGTTTTTTTTTCATTTTTAACTGTGTTTGATTTATCAAATTGCCTTCTGAAAGAGGCTTTTCTATCTGCACTTCCACCGACCTGGTATGACGGAGTCTTTCTCGGGCTTTAAACAGGTTTCAGTGTGCTCACATGTATTACAATTCCTGAGGAATTTAAATTACACAATATTTCAGGACCTTATTAGATCACACACCTGATGTGATTTATTTGGTTGGTGATTTGGTTATTGGCTTTTTTTTTAATGTTTTGCTTGGTGTTTGTGGCCAAGCTGATGGAACCTTTGAAACAGTTTGGAGAACGCGGCATTGAAAGGGTGTGATTGATGTGAAGCTCTGTTGGGAGCAGAAAAGTAAATCTAGCGTGCTGGACCGGAAATGGATAGAAAACATATATACATAGGATATTCTTTTAAATTATAAGTCAAAAACACAGTTCTTACACACTTCATTACAGCCCTGCCCTGCCTATTAATATTTCCGTTTGAACATCTTGGAGAATGCAGAGTAATAATGGTGTTTTTACTTTATGTGTTAACCTAACAGTCGGAAGTTCTGGGTTATCATTTGACTGCTAATTTGCTGGATAGCCTTGGGCAAAGTCACTTAGTCCCTTCAATTTGGGTTGATAGCTTTATCTTTTTTCCCCTTTTCCCAATAGAGAGTCGGGCTAATGCACTAACCTAAATATCTCAACTAAACTTAAACTTAAATCATTTTATACTAGGTAAATGTTTTAATAATGATTATAAGGAATTCTAATTTTTCCTGTCCACTGGTGGTGATAAAGTATTTAACACTCATCTACCCTTGCAGACAAGCATGAAACTAAATTAAAAGGAGTAATATACTTCCAAGCCATTGAAGAAGTGTACTATGATCACCTCAAGAATGCTAATAAGGTAAACACGGTTTTCAGATTCCTACAATTTGAATGCATAATTAAGTTGGAAAAATTCTTTTAACTTGAAGCAATTTAGATTTGTTATTCTGACGTAACAGAGATTTATGAGTGAATGAGACTGGAAAAGTCAACATAGAAGTAGTTAATATAGCTGATCTTTTTGTGGAAGAAAGTCACGGTAAAGTGAGGAAATATTTTGGACGTCCTCATTTGGGAGAGACCCCACCAAATGATTCTTTGCTAAGGTTCTTAGAAGATACTGCCTGCTTATGAGGAACGATTTTAGTAAGGCTAAGAATAATAGTTATTATTTATTAATGAGCACCCACAATCAACTAGGTATACTCAGAGAGCTTTACAAAGTAGCTACTAAGGGGATTGGTGAGCTCTCTGTGAAATTTCTTCTGCAGAAAGGTTAGAAATATGGTCAGTTTTGAGAAGAGTCTTAGGACTGATTGTGGGTTGTACTAGAGCAACAATAATGCCTGTGTAGAGTTGCATAAATTGGAACTTTTAAATAGGAAGAAGCCTTGATGTGGGACTTGTGTTATTTCATGTTACAATTTTAAGATGCTGTGTTACATTTTTTTTCCTTTTTTGAATTTTAGAGCCCCAATCCATTACTCACCTTCAGTGTCAAGACACATGACAGAATCTACTATATGGTGGCCCCATCGCCGGAAGCCATGCGGATCTGGATGGATGTTATAGTGACTGGGGCAGAGGGTTACACTCACTTCCTGTTGTAGTGAACTGGAGCAACAGTCCACTTCAGGGCATACTGCAATAATCTCTTACAAGAATGAAGCCATAATCTGTCCCAGAGGGAAAGACCCAACAGACCCATCCCTTTTGCTGTGTATACTCAGAACTCCTTTTGTATTAACAGGAAGTCATTTGTGAATGAGAAATAAGAAGTTTTAATGCAAGGCTTGGTCAAAAATAGCAAAAAAATTGAAGCACCTCTGAGAAAGAAAACACTATTTTGGTAAAGAGCATCACTTATAAGCGCATTTCTAATAAACTATTTTTATTCATTGTTGATTTTGGTGAACTAAACAGTTTACAAAATGTATATACTTGGAAATATGAAATTATTTTAGTGCCCAAATCATTGGCGTTGACATTATTGTAGTCCACTGGCTTTTTAAAACTAGGAACATTTTGCTGAAGATTATTTTATAAATATAAGCAAACAAGGGCTTGGAGAAGAATATATTGTAGGAGGAGCTTTTGCCCTAATTTTTTAAGTATTGCACCAAAACCAAAGACTTGATGTGACTTCTGTTTAATGACAGTAGTTTCAAGAGATAAACTTCACTAGTGTTACTCTACACTTTAAAATGGTACTTCGATGACATCAAGTGCCCAGGAAGTTGACATGGAAGAGTCACCACCAGTGTAAGCTAGTCTACATGTACAGCAAACCACTTTTTGTAAAAGGAGAAAGAACAAAACGCTGTATGGTTTAGAAAGAAGCTGTTTTAGACAGATACTCTGTCACACTGGGCAATTTATAAAACGGAGTACTTAGTGTTAGGTGCTTATTTTCCTGAAGAGTTCTCCATTCCCACTGCTGAGAATGAAGATAACCACTAGCCAATTTCCTTAGATCGTCTGATCTTTCTTTCTTGTGGAGCACACCTCTTAATTGCAGCCTCGCGTGATATAACTATGAAATCAGAGCTGTTTTTTTTTTAAACCAAAGAACAGACCAATTAAAATACTTATTTACAGAAGTGCTGTGGTTTTATAAAAAAGTCAAATGAAGTTCAACAATGTTCTCTGTAATGTACTCTTTTGTTATATATTTCTTTATAATAAGCCTTTGTTGTTTAGAGTTAAATTAATTTTTGTTGAATTAAATGACTTCAGGCAAGTCTTTTTCATAACGGTTTTCTAAGTGCCATTTGTCATGGTTTGTTATGTTGTGTGTTTGTAAGTATGAATGTATACTTTCCTAAAACTTGGCAAATGAATAGAAGTAGGAAATAATGACATTACTTCCTAGTACAAGGTAAGATGATTACATTGGAAGTGTCTATGTTTGTCAGGCCTGACTGGGTACAGGTTTTTTACACTTGCGGTGTGCTTTATCCGCATGTGTACATACTGCCAATCATAAGGTTTTGCAACTGGATGACACATGATTCCACTTGAACATTGGAGGACAGCATTACGATGGCAGAAGACATTTTTATTATCAGACATCCCCCCTAGATTCTGTAATGATCTGAAAGAGTGGAACGCCATTGCTAAAATTTTCTTGGTTAATGTAAAGATACCATTTTTCTGTACTGTACTTTTTGCCATAGGATTGTAAAGATATTCTAATCAACTTTATATCTTGCATGATGTAGTAAACCTTTGAACTATGTGTGTTAAAATATGTTGAATTTGGATTAAAGTGTTGATCAGACTTCACATTTGAAAATAAACTCATCTTTCATTAGGATGTTACCGATTGGTAACATGAGGGGGCCTGAGGGGATGGATTAATCACCCGAAGGCCATTGTAGAATTTATATAAAGGATGTTGTGTGCTAACAATATGATTTGTAGTTTAAAAACAAGTGCTTAGAAGTTTCTCTGCTCACATTCCTGTTGCTGACAAAGTAAGATAAACCTAGAAAACTCTGACATCTCATCGTCCTCTTGGGCAGAGGCAGTTAGTACTGAGGATTACGAGGACTGCATTTACTTATTCTTCTGACAAGGAATAAATCATGCAGGTGCGAAGTAAAGCTCCAGGGCTTTACTCTGTGGGGACCTCATTTGTCTCCCTGAGCTAAAGCAGCAGATTTCAGAGGGAGAAACTGCCCCTCAACAATATGTCTCCCCCTGCCCCGCCCCTGTCTCAGCATGTCTCCCCTCATCCTGCCCCAATGAAGACAACGTATACAGCAGGTCAGTGGAAACAAGTTTGCCTACTTCAAGCCCCTCAGTCAGTAAAAGTATCTTCATTTGACAGTAGCCACAATTTCTTTCTGATTTGTTAGACTGACAAAAGTGGGTAGAGGAAATAATGGGTTTCCCAGCCTTTTAATTTTAATATTTTTATTGATTTTAGAGAGAGAGAGAGAGAAACATTGATTTTCTGTCCCATTTACTTATTCATTCATGGTTAAATCTTGTGTGTGCCCTCCCAGGAGTGAACCCAAAACCTTGGCTTATTAGGACAACGCCCTAACCCACTGAGCTACCTGGCCAGGACAGGTGTCCATGCCTTTTGTGTGTAGTGTTTTTCCCATGATGAGAAAAAGTCAGATTTTTTTTCATTTTTTCCTGCACATAAAATGCAAGAAGACATGCAAAAATAAAGAAAATAGGTACAGGAATGATTGCAAATATTTGCAATTATCCAAAAACCTTGAGGATTAGTGTTTACCATTCTGATAAAAGGGATGACGTGGTGTGTGTTGGGCATCACCATATTGACTTAGTCCCTTCAGCAGCTACAACATGCCTAATGGAAAACGATCAGAATAACTCAGCAACTTTCAAAGTATGTCCTGAAATAAAGCGGCTGTCCTTGCTATCTGTTTCTGGTCTTACACCTCTCAAGAAATATACCCATTCAGTTTTTATGTAGCTAACTTTTCCAGTATGTTCCAATAGGACAGGTTCTCAGGACTCCAAAGACAGGCTCATTCATATTAGTCTTTGCCTTTGACTCTAACCCCAACCCCTTATCCAATATTTAAGACCAAGACAGCAAAAGTGGCTTTACTCAAAGTACTATACTAACCACGGCAACTTCTAAGTAGTAAAAAACTAGATAAGTCCTTGCTTATTGATCTTGCTTCAGACCTTCCCGAATTACAATGAAGGCTGTCAGAGCTGGAATTCAGAAACCCTTGTACAACAATTTATTTAACCATTTTTCTATTATTGACCATTCCATTTTTTCTTTAGTTTGCTGCTAAAAATGGTGCTGTGGTAATAATATGCACCCCATGTGTTAACGTTGTTTTCTAAAACATAGTCACAAAATGGGGCCACTGGATCAAGGGCATTAAAAGTGATGCATATTTTAAATTATAAAGATGTAGTCAAGTTAGTTGACAAGAGTTTAGAGAGTTACAGTTCGACCAACCATAGATAAGTGCCAATTTCCCAGATTCTTGCCGATAGTTGCTATTTTTTTAAGAAGATTTTATTTATTTATTTTTAGAGAGAGGGAGGGAGAAAGAGAGGGAGAGAAACATCAATGTGTGGTTGCCTCTCTCGCCCCCTACTGGGGAACTGGCCCCAACCCAGACATGTGCCCTGACTGGGAATGGAACCAGCGGCCCTTTGCTTCACAGGCCCATACTCAATCCACTGAGCTACACCAGCTAGGGCAGTAGTTGCAGTTTTTAATTTTGCCAATCTAAAGGGTGGGTGGAAATGGCATGTTATATATTTAACATTTTTCAGTTAGTGACATTGAACACCACGTTTATGCATATGAACTGCCTATTCCTTGCTATTGAAAAATTTTACTGGAATTATATATTTTTTTCATTTCTAGAAGCAGACTAAATGGAATATTAATGTTCTGCTGTGCTGTAAAATGAGTTTTTCTGTACTTATTGGAGTAGAGATACCTTTTTCAATTCAGAATGTTTAAATCTGTATATAGTCTAACATTTTTATTCTTGATGATTTTGGGGTTTCAAATCTTAAGTTCCTTTTACCCCAAGACTATAAAATATCCTCCTAAATGTATTTAATCCTCTAGATTTTATTCTTTCTTTGAGATTTTTTTTAATCTACTGCGGCTTATTTTTGCATTTACCATGAGGCAGAGGTCAAAATAATTCAGTAGCCAGGCAGATGACGAGCTAGAAAAACTAAAAGGGGCAAAGAAGAGCCTTTTAAATAGAACGAAATACGACTATTTCGTTCTATTCTTGGTATTTATACAAGTAGGTTTAAGATCATGTCTTGGAAGCATTTTCGGCACAGGTTAAAAGTGAAAGCGGCCTGCATTGCAGCAAACTTGGCATTTTATGCTTCCACTGCCTGATATCCTGGGGTTGATGAGGTTTCCAACCTAGGAATCTTGAATACTTTCCTCTCCGCAGGGCTTCCAGCCCTGCACTATCTTCCCCTTGAATAAGTAGCCTGCCGAGAGAGCACTCGTGCATTTCCAGCTGTAACGTGCAAAAACTGTAGAACCAAAAACCCAATGGCGAAAGACTGACAGACTGATGCTCTGCCCCGGCGCACGGCTAGACGACGCTAGTCGTCCAGACGCTCTTTAGCAAATCGCGTTTCCTGCCGGCGGCGCATGCGCAGCTCCGGTTCCGGTGCGCCCCGCGAGTCTACGTAGGGCAGCGCGGGGTGCAGGGGCCGCTGGGAAGATGGCTGGAGTTGGAATGGTGGCTACGGGTGCTTGGGATCTGTGTAGGAGATGGGGCTTGACGGCCGTCTCCTTCGGCTTCCACCGTGGCCTCAGCGCGGTAGTTGCGCGGAGGTCTGATAGGGTGCTACGGAGGCTCCCAGGTTAGTGCCCGAAAGGCGGGAGTAGAACGCGTTCTTTCGAACATCCCACTTTCGTCAGTTCTTGTTCGGTGCGTTTTTGGCGCCCTGTTTAAAAATGTTCTTCCCCCCATTCTCGGCACCCTAGCTGTAGGCGTCTGCGATAATTCTGGTGAAGGCTGTGAAGAGAGCTCTGGGGTGGCCCGGGGGCACCCTGGACAGCCCCAACCAGTGCTAGCGCTTTACGCTGTTTAGTTAAAGGATCCTGCTCTCTGCCTGCTTTCTCTGCATTAAGCTCAAAGTAGGGAAAAGTAACATGTGCATGTAATGAGTTTCATTATTAGTTGTCTTTTGTTTCTTTTCTCTGCAGGTTTTAAGGGGGGGGGGGGTCCAAATTGTAATTCTGTGACGTGCTTAGTTAGACCTGCCCTCTTTTGACTTGAGGCGATTTACAATTAGAACATTTTCTTTGTAAAAGTGTATAAAGATCAAGCCTGATTTCTAGTTTTGTTTTCTCGATGCTCCCGCTCAGTGAAAACCATAATCATTGTTTGACAAAGAAAACTGGAACTTAAAAATCAGAGCCCTTGAATATTTTCTTTATCTTGTGTTTGGTTCCTCCCCATTCCTACTCCATCCCCAGTCACATCCTCATGTATTATATATATTCTGTCTTTGTAAATTATGCCTTTTTAGTTGTCGGTGTTAACAGCTTGACCACCAAGATGCGTGATTGCTTGGAATGGGAATTGTTGCAGATGCTCTTTGTTTGGAGTTAAAAAATTTTAAGTGTGTATAAACAGTTTAACTTACATTTAATTGTACACACCAAAAGAAGTGATACATGTTTCTCTAACGGAGTTTAGTATGTCATTTTATTAAAGACTAACATTCTTCCATTTATTTAGTCACTGAGCACTTAGGCACCAGGCTTTGAGCTCATCCTTATTGTGCAAAGAGCATTTGTAGATACGATATTAACCTGTGCACTCACAATTTACCAAGGTGGAATAAATTATCATGGTCTCACAAAGACATTCTTGTGTTGGGAAGTAGTAGTAAGAGGATAGGAAGTATTTTTGAGTGCTGAGCTAAGGAAATGGGAAATGAAGATTTTTCCTTTTGTAATCTGCCAGCCAACATAATTGGATACTAGCCCCGTTTTTCACTAAAAGTTTTAAATTTGGAATATTTCACTACACATAAAAGGAATAGCCTTAAGGTCTCAAATTTAATTTTTTAAAAACCAACTTCTTAAATCCAGAATGAGGTAAACTTTATCGACTCAAATAGAAGAGCCCGAGAAGTTTTTGTTGCCCCAATAAAGTGGAGGGGGGTTTCATATAATATAAAATAACAGGTTTTGTTGGTCCAGAAAAAGACTAAGGAAATGCACAAACTCAGTTTCTTTGGAGGAGGGAGGTAGATTTATATATGACGTTTTTGTTGTTATTTTAAATATATCTGTCCACACTTTTTGAAGATAAAGTATTGATTTTATAGTAGGGAAAGAACTTAAAAACAATGGAATGGTGTAACCTTGTAAGGTTTACCATTTGTGCTGTTGGACTTAAGTTACATTAACATCTGTGTGTACCAATCACAGAAACCCTGACCAACAAATAAAACACAGTAACTCACAGTCTTAGAAAATCATAAAATTTTGTATGAAAATTAACACTATGATACATTTTTTGAGGTTACTTGTAAAGAAACTGCTCATTGAATGCACCTCAGCTGATAGAGAATTGTTATTGGCTATGACCCATGATTTAGTGGGTGCAGAGGGAGTCAGTAATAAAGGGGGCAAAGCACCTTCCCCTTTGGAAGTATTTCCCCCAAGGGCATACCAAGCTTGTTTTTCCCTCTCCCCACCAGAAAGTAGAGGATGTAAACATTTAAAAAATTTAAAAAGACAAAAATTCCACAAGAGTGCTAAAGTTAGTGTAAGTAAATCTGAATGTTCATTGATACTATTTCGGACAGATACGATAGCAGCAATAGGAAAACATTTTTGATGACTCTCTGTCTTGTTGCCTTGAAATTTCCACCTCATCGTGTATTTTGGAGGCATCGAGAATGGACCTTGCTCAAAGAAGGTACTGATTTTAAAATGATTTTAAAGGATATGCACAGACTTGTGACTTTATTACTCTTAAATCTGTTATTTATTTTTTCTGTGAAGTTGAAATAGTGTTTGACATTAGTTCAACAAGAAAGTTAAGATTGAAAATATATATATATATACATATAGTTTTACAAAAGCTGTATTTGCAAACTATGGTTTATTTTTTATGTACTTTGTTTAGCTTTCAGACAAAAGACATCAATCTCTTTCCTTAGTCGACCAGATCTTCCAAGCCTGGCTTATAAGAGACTAAAAGGCAAAAGTCCAGGAATTATCTTCATCCCTGGCTATATTTCTAATATGAATGGTACAAAGGCATTGGCGATTGAGGAGTTTTGCAAATCTCTAGGTCACGCCTATATAAGGTAGGAATAACACATTACGGAGAAAACATTACTACCATTTAGCATGGCAGCAGAGAATTTCTTCTGCTCTAACCAATTGAAGCAAATGCCAGCATTTTCACAGACTAATTGGTTTTAACAGTCTGTAGGCTTTCTTGTGATTTAGGATGCTGGCAGAAAGTGCTAAGATCTTTAGATGCAATAATGTGATGACAAACCAATCTCCTAGTTGGCTTTCTTGTAATTATATTGAGGTTTTCCACTAGGGACTTTACGACTTCTGTTTGACTACTGTTTATTACCTTACTTTTTAAAATACATATTTAAATAACATATGTATTTTATACTTAACCTGGCAGAGGTGGTGCCATGATCACGAAGGTGGTTTTCCCATTGCACTCCAGATGTGCTGACCCCTCTGATTTCCCCAAATGTGGGAAACTCGACTGCATAATTTCTGGTAGTGGGGTACTGTGTTCATGTTCTCCCCTGGAAAAAAAATAATACATGTATTTAAAAGTACAGAGAGTCCTTACATCATTGATAAGTTCTGTGACTTGAAGTAAATTGACATATAATTAAACCAGTTTCACCATAAACTAATTGATATAAACAAAAGTTAAATTCCTATGACATCTCATCAATGTTATAATGAAACAACTGCGAACAAAACGTTGGAGGACCTCCTGTATTGTAAAGTTAGTATTGTATAATTCACATTTCCTCTGAGTTTTCTCCTTCTCCTCACACCTGTAATCTGAATATGTATGAACATAAATGGGAGTATGTGTTGGTTAACTAAAACTTGATTTCACAATTCATAATATGCTAACAATTATTTTAGTAAAATAACGTGTTTATATTGTTATTATTAGGTTTGTTTACCTATAACAATCATTTAGGATAGTATGATTTAATAGAAGGAGCATTGGCCTAGAATTCAAGAAACTTGGGTTCTGGAATCAATTCTAGTGATAACTGCGGCAGGATGAGTCAGTTTGTAAACACTGGGCCTGTTCTCATCATGAAAAAAAAAGGAGGTTGAATTAAGGTAATTTCTTAATTCTTTTTCAACACTAACAGCCTAAAAGAGTAGTTCCACTAACATTTGCTCAATAGATCTAGAAAATAGAGGTTTTAGAAATTAAAAAATGGACACAAAAAACTGGCAGACTTAATCTGTTTAATATGTTAGCAGAGATTATGTCAATTATATGGATTTAGTTTTATTCCTTTTACCAGATTAACTGAATTGTTTTGTTTCCATGCTCAGAACTCTTACACATCTGTTCTGGCTTAATGGTGATTTGGAAGACTGGTGTATTTGCAAGTAGTCTTCCTGGCACCGTACTGGGTGCTCTCAAATATAAAGCATGGTCATGCCCTTAAAGAACTTTTTTATTGGGATAAGGAAACAGGATAAAATACAGACAAGAAGCTTGGCAAGAATATTCATCAGAGTGTGGTAGTGGCAAAAGAGCAGTACACTTAATTGTATCAGGTGAGGGAAAGAAAGCGGGATTGGAGTGGATGAAAAAGTCTTTTTGAAGGAACCCTGAAGAGCAGTTAGGATTGGGGCAAGAAGGAAGTGCTGTCTACGAAGGAGTAGCCTGAGTGAAACATGATAACAGAAATATTACCATCATTCTCCCTTTATGTCCCTAAAAGATTTTGAATCAAGAAATCACCTTTTTACCAGTTCTTGAATTTAAATTGAGGCCGTGAGAGCTATAGTCAGTGCCTGTCTCCCTGTAAGACATACATGGGTTTTCCTCACTTTGGTTACTTGTGAAATACATTGTCTCTTTAAAGGTATATTAAATTGATGATTGAGATATAATTTCATATGATGAAATTATAATGTATATTGACTATTAAGTGGTACAGTATTAAAATATAGCATATGTATAGCTTTATAAACCTTTATAAAACACAGCCGTTCACTATAAATTTTTATTTGATCAAGTTTCTTTTTTTTGCTTTTATCAAAACTGTCTTACAATCTAATCACTATTAACTATTGATTGCATATAACCTATTATGAGAGATTTTATTTTCTATTTGCATTCTAGTTTCTCAGTTTACTTTTGTTGTGATTTTTGGCTGTAAAATTTATATCTTGAATGAGGAAATGGTTAATGTTAGGTATTATACAACAAGTAGTACACAGGGCTGTATGAAAACGTTTTCTTAATATCCGATTGTCACCTTGCGTAAGAGAAAGTCAGCGCTAAGGAGTGGAGCATATCATTTTAGGGCTGGTATTCTGTCATCATTATTTCTAATAGACTATTTAATTCTAGGTTTGGGAATATGTCCTAGAGTATTGAGGCTGCTAGGACAGACCGGTTACTGTGTTTAAAGGTCCTAAAACTGTTAAATGTGTTTGAATTCTTTTTCTTTTGGTGGGTGTTCTCGTAACCTGCTAGTCTCACTCAGTGGTTATACTTTCCTTTATGAAGGGCCTTTTGCACATTTTTCGTCTTCATCATATATTTAGAAGGTGCAAGGAGAAATATCCGAACGTCTATGAAGGAGGGGAAAGGAGGACTAGTTAGTGCCTTTCTTCTTCTCTTCTCCTGTGCTGGTCTCCTACGTACACTGGACTGAGATTTAGACTTAAGCAGTCGCTTTGCTATGCTGTTTCCCAAGGATCTAAAATCATTTCACTATATACCTAAAAAATTTTTTTTCTTCCTCCATCACTTATAAATAAATAAGTGTACACTGTATATCGCATATATACTCTTATGTTTATACTAAACATACAAGGATTTTATTAGTTTTCTTCAGATTTTAAGAATAAGAAAAATGTGAAAGCTTTAAATTTGAATAATTTTTTTTTACTTTTACCTTCCAGTCCTATTCATTTGGAATGTATTGTAATACTCGGTGTGTGAAGTTTACATACTTAACCACTCTGGAAAATACAAAGACAAATAAGATAATGTTTTTATTTTTTCATCCAAGATCTTAAACTTCAGAGGAATGATGAGACACACATATGCACACAAAAGTAGGATGTAATAATTTAATGTGACTGATAAAAGTGAATTCTATGTAAGTTTCATTGGTTAGAGATCTGTTTTTCAATTTGGGCAGCCTTCCCGCAACAGAAGTTTCATTGTATTAAGCTCTCAGAGAGGATATTAGTAGTGAAAGTTACAGGAGAAGATAATTCAGGTGAAGGAAATAGTATGACCAATGAAGCAGAGACAGAAAACATGGAGCCGGTTTTAGGAACAGAAAGTCGATCAATTTGTTTAAAGCAGTAGTTCCCTTTGATGAAATGATAAAGGTCAGTCTGAGATGACTAGACTATGATGGTCAGCACCATACTAAAGTACTAAATTTCTGTGCTGTGAGTTACCAGGAACCAGTGAAGTTAATGCCATATTGATAATCATCTTTTAGGAAAAATCTGACAGTTACAGAGTAGATTTATTTGAGGAGAGAAAATAGTCATAGAGGCACAGTTAGGAGGCTGCTGTGGCTGGTTTAAGATGACAAAGACCTGTGTCAAGATGCTGGTTTACCAAATTGTAGAGAAAGGAGTGAATGTAAGGGAAAAATGAGAGTGAGAGAGAATGGTCTAGGGCAGGCAGTGTTCTGTGTCCTGGAAAAACAAACTTGAGTACAACAGTCTGCCGCTCAAGCCGATGTTCTAGTCAGGGAGACACAGATATTTAGAACTCGATTACAGCACACAATGTGAAAAGTGTTGATTGAGTACACACAAAAGGAAGTGACTGGTACTAAACAGGGTATATATGGCATATATGTCAAAGAAAGGTCCTCCAAGAGGTGATATGACTAGGAATTTGGGTGGGAAGGAAGGTCTTCTAGGCAGTGGGGCATCATGCAAAGGCTCAAAGTTATAAATGGGTGCATTTAGGAATTGGGAGTAGTTCAGTATGATGGGGTTTATGGAAATCTACAGGAGTGGCATTGATACTTCATGATTTATTGACTTTGAGACCTTGAGGAGAGGTGAAATTCACAGATCAGGCAGACTTGAATCCTGGAGAACTAGGAAGTTGGAAGGAGAAGCAAACTAAGTAGATGGACTGGTGATGATGAATTTGATTCTGATCTCTTCCCACCCACTAATTCAGTAAATATGTACTAAGCATTTACCAGTGCAAGGCGCTTATCTAGGCACTGGGAAAGCAGTGGTGAACAAAACAGAGCCTGTGCTCATATGGAGCTTCCACGCTTGTGTGGGAGACATCACAGATGAATAAGCAAATGTCATATATAATGTGAAGTAGCACTATTTTCTGTGAAGGAAATAAAGCGGGGTAAGGAAATAGAGAATGATGAAAGAAGCACAATTTTAGATTGAATGATCACAGAAGACTTCTCTAAGGTTGGAAGGAAGACCTGAATCAAGTGAGGGAGCAGTCTGAGTGGATGTCTGGAGGTAGAGTATTCCATGTGGAGAGAAAGGCTGATGTAAAACTCCCGTGCAGGAACATGGGTGGTGTTTTCCATGAACTTGAGGAAGGTGAGAAAGTTGAGAGGGAGAGAGAGCAGCGAGGAAGGAGATCGGAGAGGCAGTGTCAGGGGCCAGACTGTGTTAAGGACTCTAGATTTTATTTAAAGATTATAGAAAGCCTTTGGATGGTTTGTGTGAGACATGATTTTTGCCTTCAAAGGATCACTGACCACAATATGGGGAATGACCTGTGAGGGTGAAAATTGGAAAGGGAAAATCTTAGTCTGGTCAGGAGAGGATAGTGACGTGGACCAGGCTGCCCGCAGTATAGTGATGTGTGTGCTATATTCCTTAAAAATCAGAGAAGCAGACACATGGATACCTAGATACAGGTATTTGTATTTTCCTGTTTTTCAGGTTTGATTACTCAGGAGTTGGGAATTCAGATGGTAACTTACAAGAATGTACAGTGGGAAGATGGAGAAAAGATGTTCTTTCTATAATTGATGAATTAGCTGAAGGACCACAGGTGACTATTTTTGTTAAATATGATGTCATTGTTGATGATAACCTCATGGTATTTTTGCTCTTCTCTAGGTATGAAAATTTATTTAAATGTTTAACAACCAATTTTGATCATTTGACTTAAACTTTTCTGTCATTTTCACTTTCTCATAAAATGCAAGTATCATTTTACTTATTTTACAAATTTTATTTTAATTTTATAATTTTTTATTATAGACTGAATACTTTAACAAGAAGTAAACATAATTTTAATTCTACTTTGTGCCAAATATTAAAAGTATGGGAGCCAAAGGGTATAAAAGAAAAAAAGTACATACATTCTATGAAATTACTCCACTTATGAGGCGGGGAAGAAATTCCTCCTTAAAACTATACACATTTTTATTTTTAGATACTAGTTGGATCTAGCCTCGGTGGGTGGCTGATGCTTCATGCTGCAATCGCACGGCCACAGAAGGTTGTGGCTCTTATTGGGATAGCCGCAGCTGTAGACGGCCTGGTGACAAAGTTTAATCAGCTCCCTGTTGAGGTAAGTCACAGGCAGCCTCAGTGTGTACCTCCTACCATTCTGCTGCTGCTTTCTTTGAGTATTTGCTCATGTGTCATCCTTCCTTTGACTTATATTGACCTGTCTTTTGTCTTAGCTGCTTTTTTATATAAAATTTCTTTGCTTTCTTTACTGTTTGGTTTCTTGTTTAAGGTTTCATTTTCTTCCGTCCCTTCAACTCATTCTGGCAAATATTTGAGCCATATTAATGAAATAACACTTTATGTTTCTTTTCTTTTTCTTTTTTTTTTTTGAGCAATATTTGTTTTATTAATCACGTTTACTCTTTTGGATGGTACATCATGACCTCTTCTTATTTTAAGGCATGTGGGAAATAGTACCTATTCTTACGATCACATTAAACTTGACTCCTCGATTATGAGACTGTTCTTAGCCTCCGATCCTCTCAGCAGAGCTCTCCAAGTGCACACTGTCAGTCCGTCAGGGTCATCTCACAGGAGCTGAGAGGGGCCTTTCTGGCTTAGACACTTGGTTGACATTCTTTTTTTACTCCAAATTTTCACCTTAAAAAAATGGTTCATATTGTTAGAATGGTCTTCAGCAAATTATGGTAGAAATGAGGTTTCTGAAATAACTGGGAAGGTAATTTATTATACTTTCTTATTGGGTATATGTTTAAGCACTTCAGTTGCCTGCAAGGATAAAAAAAATAGTAGTAATAGCTGTTTATTTTTGTGTTATTTATTTATTGCAATCAGTGAGTTTTCATTGAGCATCTTTTCTTAGGGAATCTCAGTTTTAACTGTGGAACTGAGATCCTGGCAGGCCTGTGACGGAGAAAAGTAAGGAAAGGGAAGCAGTTTAGAGCAGGGACTTACAAAGCATGGTGCCCAGGCCGGCAGCAGCAGCATCCACAGCTTGTTAGAAAGGCATATTCTAAATGGTTCTTGTTCTTTTTTGTTTGAATTTATTAATATTTCACTTAGCATGATATTCTGAAAGTTCATTCATGTTGCAAATGGCAGGATTTTATCTTTATGTCTGAGTAGTGTTCCTATTGCATGTATATGCCACATCTTTATACATTCATCCCTTGAAGGACACTTGGTTGTTTCCATGTCTTGGCTCCTATGAATAATGCTGCAGTGCACAGTGAACATAGGGGTGCCATGTGACTTCACTCATGTAGGGTATAAATATAAACCAGAAAGCAAAAAAGTTAACAAGCTCAGGCACAAACAACAGTATGGTGGTTACCAAAAGAACAAGGGGAGGGATGATGAAGTGAGTAAAGGGGGACAAATATATGGTGACAGGAGGAGGCTAGACTTTGAGTGGTGTGCATACCGCGCAACGTACAGGTGATGTACTACAGAATTGTATACTTGAAACTTATATAAAGCATGAATCAATATCACCATATTAAATTTAATTCAATAAAAATCAAAAGGCCTGTTGAGCTTCACACAAGATCTACTAAATCAGAGACTGGGAGGGTGGCCCAGCAAGCTGTTTTAACAAGTCCCTCAGGTAAAGTTTGAGAACCACTGCTCTAGGGAGTAAAGGAGCGGGAAGAGAAAAGTAAAAAAGAAGAAAAAGAAAAAAAAAGTGTTGAATCATAGAATGTCATTAACTTTTGTCTCAAGTTCTGCTTTAAAACCAATGCCATGTATTATCTGCTCTATGTTCATTCTTGGCTTACATTGTTCTTCCCATCTCCTTAAGAAATGGTATTCATTTTCTGCACATCCAGGTTTGTTACGATTTCCTGTAGAGGCTGAAATTGTGAGGCTGGTTTTCCTTGCACTCACTTACCTTCTCCACACACTGTCTTGGTTATTTCTCATAGTTGCTCAGTATCTTGATGCTGCTAAATGTTCCTACCATTGCACCTTTCTGTGTATAAACCTTGGACTTCTTGACTCCATCCTTTAATTCAGTGGTCCCCAACCTTTTTGGCACCAGGGACTGGTTTTGTGGAAGATCATTTTTTCAGAGACTGAGAGGGGGCCAGGTGCAGGGATTCAAGCTCATTACATTCAAGCTCACTCCTGCTGCGTGCCCTGGTTCCTAACAGGCCATGGACATGTGCAGGCCCACAGCCTAGAGGTTGGGGACCCCACTGTAACTTACTGATACCATGCTTCTCATGGTAAGAAATTATTGCACAAATATGGCACATTATAAAGGGTTTGATTTAAGGTTTTTTTTTCTTTTGGTTATTGGCAGATGACAAGATCTGCAGATGTACATTTCTATTTACAGGCATGTGTTACCACACTCAAGGAGGGGATATAGTAGATACTGCCCAAGTGACTGAGAAGATTTATATTCTGAAAATCAGAGCTTATCGTCGCTAATCCTAAATTAGGCCAGGAAACAGTTGTTAATGGAAACACGTGGGGCCTTGTTAACTTAAAAGCATGTGTAAGGGAGAGCAGGGAGACAGAGACCACTGTCTTGTCTTCTCCACCCAAACAGCTAGCCTAACAGTGTCCAGGGAGCAGAAGAGGGATGTTAACACAGCACTTGTCATTGTGTAGGAGCTCAGCTTGCCTCTTAACTAGCTCTAATCATTGTCTCCTTCATTGGACACCAGAGGGCGTCAGACGGCTGTACAGCTGTTTGGAATCCAAGCTTCTCAACCACATTATCGTTATACAGTTTCTCCTTGGAGTAGAATTTATGCATATTGTACATTTTCTTTGATTAATTCTGTCTTTGCTATTTTTGAGCCCCCCCTTTTTAAAAGATTTTATTTATTTATCTTTAGAGGGGAAGGGAATGAGAGAGGGAGAGAAATATTAATGTGTGGTTGCCTCTCGTGGGTCCCCTGCTGGGAACTGGCCTGCAGCCCAGGCATGTGCCCTGACTGGGAATCGAACCGTGATCCTCTGGTTCACAGGTCCGCACTCAGTTCACTGAGCTACACCAGTTAGAGCTGAGCCCCTCTTTTAAAAAGATTCAGGATATATAACATTCTGTAAAGTTTGTTCTTCATATGAACAATATTAGTTTAGGGGCAGGTAATAGCTGTTTGGGCAAGGATACTTAAAATGCAGCTGTTGTTGTGTCTCAGTAATTAGCATAATTTCCATTTATTAAATAACCACTGACACAAAATTCTAATTACTAAAATTGAAAGTTCAGGAGTAATCCCAAGTACTTTGAAGATACCCTAGTATCATTTTTGCTTTTAGATTCATACATTTTATAGTTTTTTAAATTTCATTAATTTTAAGTCATTTGAGACATATTTCAAAGTATAGCTTTCATATGTATGGCTTTTTTACTGAAATCAGTTGATTTCAGCCATTCAGTTTCACTGAATCAAATCTTTTTGGAATTAAGAAATATATTAAAATGCCTAAATACATACATGTATATTTATTTTACTCTTTAAATTTTTGGATTGTTTAATATTATTGCATGTCTTAGTGTTTAATAAATACTTTTATTTTCCTACTTTTTCCAATAGGTAAAAAAGGAAATAGAGACGAAAGGCGTCTGGAGCATGCCATCAAAATACAGTCAAGAGGGAGTTTACCATATTCAGTACAGTTTCATTAAAGAGGCTGAACACCACTGCCTTTTACACAGCCCCATTCCTGTGAACTGCCCTCTGAGACTGCTGCACGGCATGGAGGACGACGTCGTGCCGTGGCACACGTCCCTTCAGGTTGCTGACCGAGTAGTCAGCACAGATGTAGACGTCATCCTTCGAAAGCACAGTGATCACCGCATGAAGGAAAAAGCGGACCTTCAACTTCTTGTCTACACTATTGATGACTTAATTGACAGGCTTTCAACTGTAGTTAACTAGAATCACACTGTTCGTTGTATATAAACCAGTAGACCCAGAGATTGAGAGAGGGATAACACATGGAAGACCCTGACACTTAGAAGGTTTTTTCCGCTTACCACTATTTTGTAAATATCACATGAGGTTTTATTTAATGATGTCTGCCCATAAGTGATACAAATTGTGAAGAGAATACAGTTATTTTTCTGAATGTTCCAGGGATTGGTTCCAGGACACCCCCAGCTCTCGGATACCAGGATGCGAAGATGTTCATGTCTGTTATAGAAAATAGTATGTGTGTATAACCTGCACACATGCTCCTGTATGCTTTAAATCGTCTCTAGATTATTTATAATACCCAGTACAATGTAAATGCTATGTAAATAGTTGTTACGCAGTATTGTTTAAGAATCAGCATTCTGGAATTCTTTTTTCTTTTAAGTATTTTTGACCTGTGGTTAGTTGAATCCAAGAATGTGTAACCTACAGCTACAAAAGGCCAGCTGTACCAGCTGCTGGAGAATTGGAACATCCTCTTCCTCCTTCATTCTCTGATTGCTTTTTTCCATTAATATGTTTTCTATTTTTTTATTCAAGAGATGTTTAACTTCTAGTGCTTTAGTTAACTGCCAGCTTTTAATTCTGTTCTTTCCTCCTTAGAATTATTAATAAAGCTTAAAATTTTCGTATTTTGTTTGGTATCATTGTATGTGGAGATTTCCTATTGTAAAATGCAGTTCACAAAATATGGGAAAATCTGAAGTGATTAAGGAAATGTCTGAAGCATAATAAAGTTTGAAAAGTAAAGAATAGTACTTTATATATTTTGCATGTTATATTTGAGCTAAAACTAAGGTTATTTTTTGTATAAAGGCTCAAAACTACAGAGCTCTAAAGGGGATATGTTCTAAATTTTGGCTCACGTGTATTGAAATGGGGGTATTTCATCTTAATGTAGTTTTCATATTCTAAAGAGGGAAGTAATCTTTATATATTATTTGCCTACCTGTAGAAACGTTTATTTCTTATTAATATGTGCCTTAAGTTTAAATAGCCAAATGGTAGCTGTCTAAATTAGAGGACTTCCAGAAGTGCAAATATAGTAAGAAAATAGGAAATATAAATATAAAGGTTTTCCTTTTTTAAACTACTGTGCAGTAGACAGTCTTGGTATTATTGGGTTGGTGGTTTTTAGCTTTTAAGTTTGCTTGGACTTTATTTAGCTTGCTTGGGTTATGTCTGTCAAAGTAACACTTAAGTTGACAACACTGAGAAATAATGTTGAGAAAAAACCTTTTGTGCCAAAGAGTTAACAGAGCCTGACCACTTACTCTTGGAGACCTGCTTACAAGATTGGCCCTTGGCTGGCATCCGGGAACTTGAATTTTAGGAGGGTTCCCAGCACTGATGAAAGTGGCTCACTGTGCAAATTGTCTGTGTAAACAATGTGGTTTGTGCTGAACACCTGCTTTCCTTCTGGGAGTCTGGAGTTTTGGTAGGGCCAGGCAGAGGCTGAGTGCCCAGCTCCCGAGGAAAACTCTGGCACCGGGTCCAACCAAGTTTCCGGGGCGGACAGCCTTTCCCATGTGCTGTCTCAACACTGCTGGGTTTAAGCTCATCCTGTGTGACTCCACTGGGAGAGAATTCTTCAGAACTTGTGCCTGATTTCACCCCTGATTTTCCAGATCTCACCCCAGTTCCTTTTCCCTGTGTGGACTTTGCTTTGTATCCTTACCGTAATAAATTGCAGCTATGAGTACAACTGCGTTCTGTGAGTCCTGACAGATCGAGCCTGGGGGTGGTCTTCGGGACGCCTGCCACAGATACAAAGCAGGTTAATTCCCGCAAGGCAGTAGAACTATACTCTGGTCTCCTTTATACCAGACAAATTACTTACAAATAAAAATACATGAACTGTGTGTGTGCCACTGTTCCTGGGACTGCAGGGACTTGATGGTGGATGGCAGGGAGGCTATTTCAGGGTCTTCTCTCCCCAGCCACTGCTAGGCATGAGGGTTACAATAATTAAAGGGGAAGAGTGCTCGCCCATGAGTGTTTTCTAGGGTTAAATATAGCTGTAATAAAGTGTAGTCAATATGAACTCAGATTCCTAGTATATCTGCAGAGGGAGTATAGCATAACGGTTATGGCCTGCCTCACCACTTAACTAGCCCTGCGACAGCAATATACTTACCCTACCTGAGGTTCCCTCATCTGTAAAATGGCAACATAAACCTGCCTAATAAAGCATAAGAATTAACTGAGCACAACACAATGAATGACACACGAGTCACTGCCTTTTCATTTTTACTACCCGCAGAGCACAGTCCAGTGCGAAACATGAACACAAAAGCCATCAGGGTTTAGAAAGAAAAGTAAAGGCAAAGTGCATTGGGCTTCTAAAGCTGACCTGGATTGGACCTTCTTAACCTCATGACCCCAAATCGGAGTGTTGTGTGGTATCCTTTCAAATGTTCAATGGTGAGAGGGGGGAGGGAAAATCTGCACTCTAAAGACAGAAAAAGTTGTTTTAAAATTTAGCTTTATAGAAGGTAGCATCACAAATTCCACATGAATTTGAATCAGTGAGATTTAGTGTATTCTAGTACATTATTAATTGCTTCAGTGTTCTTCATTTTCCCCCAAAGCTTTTTGTTTGTTTTTCTAAAACCACTCCGTCCCCTGTGTTCAGTGACATGGAGAATGTGGAACAGCCAGCAGCCCCTGAGTGCCTTACCATATGGAACTCCCTTTAAAAGCGACTCAACCCCTCTGAACAGTCTCCAAACATGCAGTGGAAAGGGATCAGGCAAGTGCCAGTGGAAAAAAGGCCAAGGGAGGCCACATAATGTACTGTACTTGCTTTTGCTGCATCTGCTGAGCTCAGAGGCATTTCCAGACAAATCTAAACAGTATGCTGTTGTCTGAGAAGCCAGTGGAAAGGCCTGTGTGGAGGAGAGGCGGAAAGGGGCTTCAGGTAAGACTGAGGTTTATGAAGGATGGAGATAGAGAGCAAGGAGAACGTTACACACCACATAACCACTTCCAGGGCAGTGCCCCAAAGGGACATGTCAAATATCCATTAAATTTGGGACTTTTAACAAGAAAAAAAAAAAAACTAAAGGACTTTCATTTTCTGGAGGAAGGTAGATGGAATTCGGATAAACATTTTTAAGGTCCCTTGAGATACAAATTTACAGTAACTTCTTAGTTTAGAACATAATTGTGTATATAACTTGGTTTGATGAAAACCTGTGATCATTGGCTATATTTAGAGAATGTACCTAGAAAAAGGCAGGCAGTGTTTTTAAACCAAATGTGTCCACAGAGGAAATGACTCTCCCATTTGGGCTCTCTCTTTTCTCGGGCTTCCAGGGTTTTGCTGACAGATGTACTTTCTTTTACTAAAAAGAAGCTCAAATATCAGCTGCTCAGTTGAAGCCTTTCCTGACTTCGTCCTCCTCTCTCTTTCCAGAAAAGTTCATTGGTGGGTCCTCTGTGCTCTCTCATAAAAAGCAAGCGCTCTGTTCATGCCTTTTTGATAGAACTCACTACTTCGAGATGCTCAGGTTATACGCCAGCCTCCCTCTGCAGAGGCTTTGGCATCGCTTCCCCCCAGGAGTCTCTGACCATGCTACGCCAACCCCTTTGCTGGTTTTTCCTTCTTATCCACTGTGTAATGTCAATATTTCCTTTCCATTCTGACCATGGTACTTACACATGTCAAGTGAACGTACTCATGTTCTGGGTTTTAAGAGCTACCTGCATGCAGATGATTCAAGTACATTCCTTCATCCCAGACTTTTCTCTTGAGTTCCAAATCCATAAAACCATTGCCTAATGACCTGGGATGAATGCTGGGCCTCCGAAATGCAGTAAGGACAAACTTTGCTATTTTTCCCCCTTAATGCACCTCCCTCACCATGAGTCCCTTTATAATAAATGGTACCATCATCACCCCTGTATACAAGTCACACTTGTGAGTCATCTGACCTTCTTCCTTTCCTTCTCCCAAATCAGAACTCACAGTTCTCTTTCCCTATGGGGAAAAAAAAAAACCTTTTCCATGATATGTAAGTCTAGATTTCCAGGGAGGAAGGAAACCCTGATCCACAGAGGTTTGGATCCTCTGTGGATCCAAACATCCAAGGCATACCAACATCCAAGGCATAAATACTCTTCAAGCTACTGTTGTGGCGTCACTGAACACGAGGGGCTGGGAAGAAGTGGCCAGCAGCGTGTTGTTACATAGGATATACACTACGTGGACTAAATCTAACAAGGTCGGGAAGCCTGCGTGATGGGCCTCACACACTCAGAGACAAGCTGGTCTGAACACAAACATTTCTAACTAAAAGTGGGGCTTGGGGGATAGTCAGTCATGTCCTATATGCCCGGAGCTGCCTTGCTGAAGGTCCATCTTTACCTCTGACACTGTGTATTGTCTTTGTGCATCTAGGATGACATACCTTTGAAATATCAGAGTGATACTCTTTTCCAGACCCAGATTCTCCTGCTTTGCTTTCTCCCACCCTCCTAATCTGCCACCAGTGGGGTTCGTGGCACCCTGCCTGTTTTCTCCTTTGGCTGTAATGTCCCAAAGAAGCTGCAAAACTGCCATGCTCCAGACCCCTTTCCCAATCCGCTGAGATTTTGCCACCTGGTAATATTTGTCAGTTAGGATTAATCAACTCTTACGAGACTTTTTCTTAGGCTGGATATTCTTTCTTCAACAACTATATACAGACAATATACATAAATATCCTCAAAAACATAGGTAATATTAAAATGTAGCAAAATTAATTAGAAAGGGATCTGTTTTGAGTTTTTGACTTTGGTTTGTAATATCATTTATTTCAGTATAAGTTTACATAATTTAATTACTTATAATGGCTGAATTTAACAACCGGCCCTCAAAATTGCTGGCCATGTAACCATGGGCACTTGCGAGCACACCACTTTGTGATCTGGAAACTGCCTGCCGTTCTGGCCCAATTTTCTTACTGTGTGTCTCTTCTCTGTAACCCTATGCTTCACTGATATTAGAACACTTTCACCCTAAACAAGCTGCCTTTGCCACAAACATTGCCTATCCCTCTTACCTCACCCGTCCACCTGGCAAACACCTTGGTCCATTCACATGGCCAACATGCTCATCTTTTAAGATTTAAAATCATCTCATTTATAGACCTTTTCCATAGCCCCCTACCACCTTCCTGTAGGTAGAATTATACCTTTGTACCTTGTGCATAGTTTTAGCATGATACCTGCCCAGCATCTATTGTTTACAAGTTTGACTTTGTCACTAAACCATGTTGCCATGTCTTATTCATTAAACAACAACAACAACCTCAGCTATGTAGGCCCTTAAAAACATTGCCGAAAAATGATACTACTGGTAGGCACTCAGTAAATACAGGGCTGAGCCAAGTTCCACGGTCACTCCTCCAGGGGATGGATCATGCTTTGTTCTTCAAAGACTTTCTGTGGATTTGTGAACACGTCTAACCTATTTCTTACTGGCAAAGACTGCCCCCCTCTTTGCCACTGTACCTCCTCCCAAACTTTGAGCTCTAGCACTCGCTTAAAACACCCAGTTATGTTGTTACGGTGGGAAGAAATCTTTGGGTACAAAAGATCTGCAAAGCACAATGTGAAAAAATATGTAAGGAGAGAGCAAACATACATCTTTTTAAAATTGCTCCTTTCTTTATTAAGAAGCCAGCATCTACCTTAGAGCAATTCCAGCCACAGAGAAAGTGACATGCCTTCTGTCTGGGCCTCCCTTTCCTTGGTCTTGGGTTTGAATTGACCTTGTTGCTGCCACCCATGATGCAATTCAGTGACTTTTAAGATTCTGCTGACAACTGTCCTGCCCTTTCTCTGAGCTCCAAGTCTCTGGAGACAGCTCTGTCATCCGTCGGTAGAGCTTCTTCATCTGAGGGATCCATGCAGCATCCAGACATGCATGAGTCAGCCCTTCTGTGCCGTTTTCTCAGCTGGCTGTTCTCCTGAAGGCTCCTGGTTTTCCCACAACCCTTTATATTTGAGAGTCCTCTCTCCTAGGCCTTTGCCTATTGACCACTAAGTCTTTTCTCAGGCACACTGCCCACATATGTGCTAAGTAATTATATTTTCACTAGTCCAGGCCCCAGATGGCAGTAGGTTTTTCTTAATACTTGTATTATTTGAGGAGTCATTTCCTGCATAGCGTTTAATCAATTTCCCACGGAAACAAGGATTGCCATGCCATGTTCTAGAATTGATTTTTTGAAACAATTGATCAATTGTTTCAGAGGCAAGAATTATACTTTGTTCCTCTGGAGCACAGTCCTTGACACACAGTTAAGTGCTCAAAAACTATTTTCTGAATGAACCAGAGAACAGGTTTTTAGGTTTTCTCTCGTGGTAAGTAGTACCCAGAGACAGACAAAGCCACTAAGACTCAATCCTCACCCTCGGTCTAAGCCAGACTCTTTGTTATAAAAACTTCAGGCCAACATAAATCTGATTTCTCCTGAGGTCTTGTTGGCTAATATCAAATACTCAGTTACCACTGATAGTATATCGGCTGTTTTTTTACTGTTCCTTAACTAAAATAAATGAAATCTTTACACTGTATCCAAATCTTTTATTCCAAGAGTTCTTAACATATTGAGCTCTTTTTAATTTATGAAACATACTCTCACTGTCTTTCTATTAAAAACAGCATTAAAAAGCTACCTTCCTTGAATAAGTCAAACTGAGGCATGAGTTTCCCACCAGGATGGAAGTTTCTAAATGAAATCTGGCTGGCAGCAGAATAAGTTAATGGTTGCAGCTCTCAGTCCCTCC